TTGCTATTTCTTTATGATTGTTCTTTCTCCTTCTCCTCCTCCTCATCTTCCACTACCTTCTTTTTCTCCTTCCTCTTATTCTTCCTCCTCCTCCTCCAAGGTCCTTCTCTTCTTTTTTGTGCCATTACTAGGGTTTGAACTCAGGGCTTCATGCTTTTTTTATATTTATGAGCTTATTAAATGGTATTTCCTTTAATAATTAAAGATTATTTTAATCATAATAAACTTTTAAAAAGAAAGAAAAAAGAAATTTCATTGATTTTTTTGTGTTGCTACTTGAAGACAATTACTAATTAAAACAAAATATTCTTAGGTAGATTGTATTTAGTGCTTCCTCTGGGCTTTCTTTTATATTTTATTTTTTAATTTATTAATTAGGCCTTCATGCTTTTGCTTAGCTTTTTCCATTCAAGACTTGTGTTTTGTCACTTGAGCCACACTTCCAATTCCAGCTTTTTGCTGGTTAATTGGAAATAAGTGTCTCTTGTATTTGGCTGCCCAGGATAGCTTCAAGCTGGGATTCTCAGATTGCAACCTCTTGTGAGATGACAGTGCCTGGAGTCTTTCATGGATTTCTATTGACTTATTACCTAAATCTAAAAATTGGAATCCGAGATAGCCCAAATTTGCTGCTGAGGATCAAAAAGATAGAGAAGTGGGAGTATGTTTTCACCAGGAAGTCCAGAGACCAGCTGGCCATGCCACACACTGCCACCCCCTCACCCAAAACTAAAAGGGAAAATACCAGCACATGTGTTCTCCGGGCAAAGGCTGTTCAACATGAAGTTTTCCCTGCCATGAGTAGCAATGTATTGCAATTTGCCAGGATGAGCCAATTTTCTTTTTCTTGTAGTTTGCATTTCTTCTGACACTCCTTAGCCTGGGAATAAGTCACTCATTAGCTCATGCCATTGTGTAGTTTATTTTTCAGATAGGTCTTGTGCTTCTGCCCTGGGTCAGCTTTGACCCATGGACCATGATCCTCTTATCTCTACCTCCCACCTGGCTGGGATTATAGACTTGCACAAATAGGCATCATAGCATAGTCAAAATTGGAGAGGCAGAGGGTCAAAAAGGTGTGCATACTGTAGCTCAGAACCTGCAGGGCCTCTTTTAATATCTTCCCAGGTTGACCTAGAACAATCGAGAGATTACAAGAAGGAAGAGGAGAGATTTCCCAGCTTCCTACCTGGTCAGAAAGAGTACAACTGGGGCTGGGAAGGTGTCTCAGTGGTAGAGCACCTGCCTTGCATGCATGAGGCCCTGGGTTCAATTCCTCAGCACCACATATGCAAAAAGAAAAAAAGCCGTAAGTGGCGCTGTGGCTCAAGTGGTACAGTGCTAGACTTGAGCTGAAGAGCTGAGGGACAGCGCCCAGGCCCAGAGTTCAGGCCCCATGACAGGACCCCCCCCACACCCCG